ATGCGGTACCGATTTTTCTCTTCCGACAAGGAATAATGGTAATAATTAATTATAAAACTCCCTTCTCCAACCCAACTACACGCGCGGCCCCCTTTTGTTTTTCGGTATCGTTTCCAGTGCCGCGGCACCGCTGAGCTTCCTTGCGGTACCGGTGAGCTTCCTTGCGGTACCGTTTTAATTCTCCATGCGGTACCGATTTTTCCATTCCGACAAGGAATAATGGTAATAATTAATTATAAAACTCCCTTCTCCAACCCAACTACACGCGCGGCCCCCTTTTGTTTTTCGGTATCATTTCCAGTGCCGCGGCACCGCTGAGCTTCCTTGCGGTACCGGTGAGCTTCCTTGCGGTACCGTTTTTCTGCTTCGCGGTACCGTTTTAACTCTCCGCGATGCCGCTCAACTCCAAACGACACCGTTTTTTACCCACGGCATCGAATTAAATGCCGAGACTCATTATTACGGCATTGAATTTAGGCCAAAAATATTTTAGGTGTAAACAATGCCCCCCACAACTTAGTTTATAAGAACTACTTCTTATGAACTAAGTTGTTGACACAACTTAATTCACCTAAAATGATAATTAACTTGCCTCAATGATCAAGTTGGCGAGAAATTTTATGGCCACCTTTGGCCAATCTCACCAACAAGCATGCAAAAACTAACTGGAAATGTTGGCGTTCTCATTGTCAATTATTAAACCCCAAGCAAAACTTCAACAAGTTTTAGAAAACACAACCGAGATTTACCTTTAGTTACAGCTTCCTTGCCATGTTTTGCAACCTAACGTCTCCGCTTCCTTTTCCTGTTCTTATGCACCAAACAAGATTGCAAGCTGCAACGTTGCTTGTTTTTAGACCCACAACAAGACCGTGCCATTTGGATAACGGCAGCGATGCAATTTCCACTACCATTTCTGAGTGCTTTTTCCTTCCAACGAGGATCAAAATAAATACCCTTGGATCTTCTCCAATCATATCTCGCCACCAACCAGTAAACACAAAACCCAAGCTCACAACGAAGAACCTTGGCCTAGCAGAAACGGCACGGTCCTCAACATCACCATGGCAGTATGCGCAACACTGTTTTAGAATAAACAATGTTGTTGGCAGCTTGACCAAAACGCAGCTGTTTTATTTTCACGTTGCAGCGTTATGAAGGCCAAAACAACTTTGTTTTATATATTTAGAATAATAATAAAAAATGGCACTCCTGCAGCACGGTTTCAACCACAACAGCCCTGTTCTTCTCTTTCTTTCTGCCACAACAGCGTTGTTTTGGTGAGATTTTTTTTATTTTATTTTCCTCTTTTCCGCCAAAGCTGTTTTGAAACAGCGGCAGAGCTATTTTTTTTTTTTTTTTCCGCTAGGGCTGTTTGCAACAGCGGCAAAGCTAATTTTTTTCTTTTTTAACAACATTGTGTATCTTTCCCTATCTCCCAACGATGTTGAGAAAAGAGAACAACACCGCTTGTTATTTTGAACTATTGCCAACGATATTGTTGCTTCTTCTTAGCAATGCCGCTTGATCATATTATATAATATTTTCTCTATAACATATTAGGTGGCCTAATTTAGCCACGTTATTTATAACAGTTAAATAAGAAACAAACTAGACCTTGGCATAAACCATCATGCCAAAAGTCCACACCCACTGCCAACTCCATCGATCAAACCAAACAAGCCATCCGTAAAGTCCATGATTCATCACAGCTGGCTTCACACGAGTTGGTTTTGATGTTTTGGAATCAATGTTGGCTTGCAAATCCCCAGTTCGTCTAGCTCGAACATCTTTGTTCGAAACTCCACGATCCTGATTTGGCCTAATCTTAGCTTCGCGGAATGGAAAACCATAAGCATTCTTGGCTCTAGACAGGACATTCTCGTTTTTTGGCACCTTTGTCTTGCCAATTCGACCATGCGACATCGCTTGCCTAGACTGGTCTAGTTTTGTCAGCTTCGCACTCTCACCATGTTGTTGGTAGTATGAGCGCCGAGACTTTTCATCAACAGGTACGTTGGTATTTTGCTTATCACGAACATGACTTTCGCACCTATCACACAACAACGTTGCCCCTTTTAAAATTCCACGTGAGTTTGGAGTTTGTTTGGCATTGGCCTTGCCCCCCAGACCACCACTTATGGATTTGTTCCCAGCCAGCACTGGTGAGGCAACCCCATGTCGGGTTTGATCGAACTTGCCCCCCTCTCTACTCAGTGGAGGTTTCGGGGACAATTTACATAGAGGATTCTGTTGATTCATGACAACTTTGGTGGCATTGGGTTTTTTCACGTGGCTGCCACCCCCACACTGCAAAGTTTTTGCTACCATCCTTGTTTGAATTTTCCTAGAATAGGACATATTTGGCAAACTTATTTGCCACTCGCGATGTTGTTTTTCCATCAACCGACCATGCGGTGGGATCTCATGCCCCCCTATCGGCTTAGATTGAACACCATTGCGATGTTGCTTGGGTAACCCATCATACGTGAGCTTGCTATGCTCGACGTGATTGTAACCAGGTTCTCGACCCTGGTTCTTGTTTTCAATCTTATTAGAAGTAAGTCGATACTGACTTCTTTGTAGTGGCTTCTGCAAGCCACTTCCAATTGGTGTGTCCTTTAGAACAACGTTGTTCACAGGAAAGAACACATTGGATTCACTCACTTCTAGCAACAATGTTGTGGACATGGTTCGAGATTTAAACACATCAAAATCATACGTGGCTCCACGTATTGACATATTAAAATCAGAAACAGAGTCGTCCAACTTATCAAACCATTGATCTATGTTTTTTTCAAGATTACCCATTTTTTTATCAAGAGAAGTTAGAATGATATTTACCTGTTGGCTATCTCTGTTGAGTTCAGCCACTACTTGGCGGGGTATGAGCAGCATCTCACCCTGATCGGAGATTCGTGCCATTGATTGCACCTTTGCTCCAGCGTTGTTGCTTGAACCGCCAACAGCATCGTCAATCTCGATATTGACCATTTGAGCCTCCGTCATGGATCCTTGTCGAAGACCACAATCTTCTTTTCCTCGTCGCAGAGCCATGTCAAACACACGTGTCCCACCAGGTGTGCCAAATTGTTTCCTCGGGAAAACCAAATGCCACCGCCGGTGTCGAGTTCGTTTCCGGCGATGTTGATTTGATGTTTCGCGGTGGAAACTCTTGCAGTGCCGTTTGATCGAATGCACCGCTGATTGTTGAAATCGAGACGACCGTCAAATATCCGCCGCCGAATGTCGGCGCCGTTGATTTGATCGATGCACCTCTAAATGGTGAAATCAACGTGACCGTCAAATATCCGCCGCCGAATGTCGGCGCCGTTGATTTGATCGATGCACCTCTGACTTCTAACCAAGAACGACCGTTACTACGGTTCGCACCTCTCCAAACTACGTTCGAACGAGGGTGTTTGAGTTTTGAGGAATCTACGTTACCGCTACTCCTATGGAGATTCCTGTGGAGAGCTCCGCGACTACGACTAACACTACAACTATGGAGATCCTTCCTGGAAGGAGAGCTCCGCGAAGGAGTTACAGAGAAAAGAGGTAAAGTTTGACAGATGTGTTTCTGTGTTGATTTGGTTGTCCCCTTCTCTCTCCTTGCTCCGCTGCTTTTATTTGACATCACTTGTGTAGTCTTCACGCTAGGTGGAACCGCTTCCTCAACTGCTCCGTCTTGAAATCCCACGTGTCTCAACTGCCTTGATCTCCTCTTTCTGCTTTGCGTAAAAGTCACGTGCACACACATCAACTTTGTACCATGGTTCGAATCCCGATACCGCCATCGATTAAAACAACATTGTTGTTTCACCCTCGTCACCGCGTACTTGCCGCTAGATTGTTGATCTCCCAGCGTCGTTCTTAATTAAACAACATTGTTTCCCTGTCCCGCGATGTCGTTGAGCTTCACAACACTGTTTTCATTTTAACACTGTCGTTTTAACTGCTGCGGCATCGTTTGGCCTACTTGCGGTATTGATTTATAATCCGCGGTGTCGTTTCTTTCCTCTTGCGGCATCGTTTTCAACTAAACGACACCGTCCTAAACAGCCATTAAAATATTAATTAATTAATCCGTCCATCACTAGCTATGGCCAACGACATCACTAGCATCACAACAACTCCGTTTGTTTTCCCTTTTGCGACATTGTTTTTTATTTAAACACTGTCGTTTGCTTGCGGTACCGTTGGGCTCCCTCGCGGTACTGTTTTCAATTCCGCGGCATCGTTTTAGCTCTCCGCGGCACCGTTTTAACTCCCCTCGGTGCCGCTTCTTCCAATCCAACAAGGAATAAAAATAATAATTAATTAGAGAAAACTCCTTCTCCAATTCCAACTGCACGCGCGGCCCCTCTTGTTTTTCATTAAGCGGTGTCGTTTCCCATGCCGCGGTACCGTCGAGCTTCCTTGCGGTACCGGTGAGCTTCCTTGCGGTACCGTTTTAATTCTCCATGCGGTACCGATTTTTCTCTTCCGACAAGGAATAATGGTAATAATTAATTATAAAACTCCCTTCTCCAACCCAACTACACGCGCGGCCCCCTTTTGTTTTTCGGTATCGTTTCCAGTGCCGCGGCACCGCTGAGCTTCCTTGCGGTACCGGTGAGCTTCCTTGCGGTACCGTTTTAATTCTCCATGCGGTACCGATTTTTCCATTCCGACAAGGAATAATGGTAATAATTAATTATAAAACTCCCTTCTCCAACCCAACTACACGCGCGGCCCCCTTTTGTTTTTCGGTATCATTTCCAGTGCCGCGGCACCGCTGAGCTTCCTTGCGGTACCGGTGAGCTTCCTTGCGGTACCGTTTTTCTGCTTCGCGGTACCGTTTTAACTCTCCGCGATGCCGCTCAACTCCAAACGACACCGTTTTTTACCCACGGTATCGAATTAAATGCCGAGACTCATTATCACGGCATTGAATTTAGGCCAAAAATATTTTAGGTGTAAACAGGAGGCAACGGCAACTCCGGTGGCTGTGGGAGAAGAAATCCCAATACAATCTATTCACAGTTTCCAACTATAGATCAAAGAGGGGTCATCTGCCTTTGCACAATATCATCGATTGCATTCTCTCTAAGAACATGAACACCAACAACGATAAATTCGATTCTAAATTTTCAAAACCCATTACAATCCATTCACAAAGCAACAGAGGTAGTTGTGGTAGAAGAAAACCCGACGGAGCACAGATACTCAGTGCCACGCTGATCAAATCTGGCGATCTAGTCCATAATCCCTAGCAAACAAACCCATATCCAATTTTTTAATCTCTCCCCAAAAGATTCTGACTTTTCCCCCCATTTCCCTGTGAATTTCACTTCCATCTATATATTACCCCCTCCAATTTTAATCTCTCTGTCCCGCTTCCCTTTCTCAATTCCCCTTCATACTTATAACAGTTAATTCGCCCGAGACTTCTTTGAGAAGAAGTTACGCTGGACTGGGACGGTAAAGGGGGAAGAGAGTGACTTCTTGACATTCTCCAGCTCTTCCCTCTCTTTCCTCCTCTCATCGACGGAGGTCAAGCTCTCGGCGGTCGACGCATCCAGCCTCTCCCCGCCGTCGCCATTGACGACCCGGTCGAGGGATATATATTCATCAGTGGGGCGGAGGGTTGAGGCTGGCATCTGGGCAGAAGATCGGGATGGAGATGAGGTGAAGGGATGCCGGAAAACCGGGCGGCGTGCGGGGAGGAGAGAGAACCCGATTCCAAAAACTTTACCCTTATTTTCAGGTTTTTATTTTATTTTCTAAATTTTTCGAAAATGAGATGAAATTATTATAAGTTAAATATTTTTAATTGACACGTCACTCATTTAACGGTCAACTATGAGTGTTGACCGCCACATAGGATAAAGATAACGGAGAGTGACCAAACTTGAACTGTTGAACTAATCTTAGTGACCAGGAATAGAATAAACTAATTTTAATAGCAAAAGTAAAATATTTACTAATTCTAGTGCCAAACTTGCAATTTAAAGGAAGTAATGCTAGGTTCATAAACCATTCATGGTGAGCTTTTTTCAGTCAGAATGTCATTGAGTGAATATGCTTCCGTTTAATTGTGTTAGAGAGGATTACTTTTCTGCTGTAATCAACCAAATTGCGAGACAAGGAAGTGGCATGGAGAAAGACGGGCTGGAATATTTGCAAAGCAAGACATTCCGATTGGAACCGAACTGTCATATGATTACAACTTTGAATGCTATGTGCAAAGGTTCGTTGGTTGTGCAGTGCGGCCAGCTGTTCTGGATTTCTTGGTGCAAAATCTCGTGATTTCCAGGTAAAGCTTTTCTGAATGTTCTTGCACTGAAGCTGTATGTTTATAGCTGGTAGTTAGATATGTAATTATTTATTCTGGTTAACATTCTGAAATTGGCAGAAACAGCTGCAGACAAAATGCTTAAGAAGAGAAAATGCAGAACAGAGAACACATTAGATATGGAAAGAGTGACAAAAGTAAATTTTGGATGGAATAAAATTAAATTGATTTGAAATATCATAACAGCACCAGTGGTCTAGTGGTAGAATAGTACCCTGCCACGGTACAGACCCGGGTTCGATTCCCGGCTGGTGCATCTAATTTTATGTTTTTCACTTCTTTTTGCAGTTTTACAAAGTCTTTGGGCTGATTGCTGCACTTTTAGGTGGGTCTCATTCGGGGCTTGTTATGGCTAAGATTGAGTATGGGCCTGAGATGATTCATAAATTGACTCAAAATGTGAATTTTAATTGAATTAAATCCAATCCAATAATTTCAAAACAGAAAAATGGAATCATAGTGTCGTGCACTACTAAGTGCTAACAAAAATCTGGAATTAGTCAGATTACTTCATGATTGGCTCTTTGGTCCATGTCTCCATGATCATCCTTTTTAAGGTTGCCCTTGAAGTGGTATGGCTTAGGAGCTGACATGAATTGTTATTTATCCGATGACCACAATCTATCACTTACATGAATATTTTCTTGGTCACGATCAATATAATAAATTTATTTCACCAACTCACATGGGATCATCAAGAATTCATGAGATTTTATATAACACTAGCATATGCATAACACAACATATTTGTCTATTTAGATAAAAAAAAATTCAACATCTATTACATTATATAATCTGAATACATTAACTTATATGCTAGTGAAACTGACAATTATTCCAGAAGGGTTACAGCCGATATGTGGTGTGGTCTCTGTTCTATACTTTAGTCCCTCGACTGGACCGTAGACCGTCTATATATGATGTACTGCATACATTGATGATCAAAATGACCATCTACGTAGTAATAATAATAATAATAATAATAATAATAATATATTTAAAGTACTTGAGTCATAGTCTGGGAAAGGAGGAAAAGGATGTAGCTAATACGAATACATAATGTACACAATTGTACATAATCTGGTAAGTCAAAATAAACTACAGCATGTCCAATCTTTGATTAGTTGAAACTATCAGGATCCCAAATTGTAACAATTCGAATGCAAAGTGGACTTTCCGAATTCACAGATACAATAAAAAGCTCCGCTGCAAATGTTATGTTGCATCTACTATAAATACGATCATATGCCTTTTCATAACTAAGCTTGAAAAGTTCTTCAGGGGACATACAGACCAGCCCCAGAGTCGCTTCATGATAAAAAAAAACCACATCAACAGCAATGCCTTCATTTTCACATGTTGCATGCAATTCATATTGTATTCTGATTTATAAAATAAAGGTAACACTTTCAGTTCATGTATGTACAGTGGATAGAAGGATAATCAAATAAGACATAATAGAAACATACTTTGGATATCGTGAACTTGACTTGTAAACTTGGGGACCATAGTTTAAGCTTATCATCTTCAACTTACACTGATAAAGAACCTAAAAGATACATATATATTGGATGATTGATCAAATTTTTAAGTAAATTTAGTTAGGAAAGAAATCTATAATATTCTATATATACCTCAAAATGTTGTGTCTGGAACATAATAATTTCTTTTAGTGCTTGAAGTGATTTTTTGGGTGGAAGTAGGCCACGAAGGTAACCAATAGGTTTACGTGATACTTTATTGATACAGGTTACTGGTTTTCGATCATCTATGAACCTGAAATGAAAGAAAGGAATGTTAGTACTTGTTTATAGAAAACGGAAAACTATCAGAATCGGTAAATATATTTTTTTCTCTCCATATATTGAAACTTGTTCATAAGTTTTTCATAGTGGTAATTATAAGAACCAATAATAAGTCGACTGTCTGCTGAAGATTGAAATTTATATTCATTGTCCTCTCCATTTGTAGTTGGTAACATACTAATTGCAGTAACAGTAGTAATAAGTGGAAGTCGAGATTCCGAGTCTACGACAAGATCGAGGTATTTGATAAGTTTTGGTCCGGAATAGTAAATTGTTGTCATTTTTCCACTACACAAAATAACATAAAAAACGCTTAGCATTACATGTGAATGGTTAAAGTCCTTGCAAAATTCAAGAATGTAGGATACCTAAAATCTTCTATCACAAGTTCAAACTGAGAAAGTCCGTTGGCAGTACATTGTGGGATAGTAAGGTGAAAAACACACCCTGTCACATCTGGAATTCAATTGATAGTTAGGTTCTAAATTACAATCATCACATGAACAAAGAAATATATGATCATCATTACCTGAATAATGTAGAACAGTTTATGACTATAATGGGACATCTGAGAACCATGTTTTTAAGATAACCATCCATCATATATAAGTGGTTGACCTTAAGCTTAGTACTCTTTTCTTCAATATTATCTTCTTCAACATAACCTTCAAGCCAACGTTTCTGCAAAATACTAATTAAATAGTTGAAACATACAAGTATGAAATGACTGTAGACAATAAAGATCTGGTACAAACCTCTTTATCAATCCACAACATATGTATTGTTCGTTTGAGGCATGTAGGATGTCCACTATGCTCAATCCATATTTTTAGCAGTCGAGCTATGATAACATCAGTATAGATGCCAATACGAAGCCCCCGAAACCCCATGAATGTACAGACCAGATCTATATCAAACATCACAGCAACAATATCTGGAATATGCATCCCTGTGGATAGAAGCTTCACAGCACCAGGAACAGCCTCAATCTACCCAACCAGCCACGTCATGACTTAAAAAGCAATACTACAACCCCTGATAAACCACATGAAATGGTTAGGGAGAACAACAATGATGTCGTTGAGGAATTCCATATGCAACTGTAGAAAGAACAAATAGAAAAAAAAATACGAATAAAAGAGCACCTTACGATTCGAGAAAAAATATGAATAAAAGAGCACATACCGATTCGAGAAAAAAAGAAAATTGTGAGAATCCTCTTCAAAGCTTGGAACATTTTATAGGAATGAAAATGGACAGCTATTTGGTGGTACAAGCACATGCAATGGCATTAAACGTATCTAATAATACATGTACTGCACATCAACAGTATACACCAACTATAGGGACCCAAGCATAGTATATGTCTCTTTCGCATTGAGTACAAGCAGACAAAAGATAAAAGAACTCACCTAGATGACATTAAAAGCCTCCAATAATGCATGTACGGGAAAACAACAGTGTACACCGGCTGTAGGGACCCAAGCATAATGTACGTCCCTTTCATATTGAATACAAGAAGACAAAATAGAGAAGAACGACCCAAGCATAGAGTACGTCTCTTTCATATTGAATACAAGCAGACAAAATAGAGGAGAACTCACCTAGTCGCGTCCACAGGGGAGGATCTCCTTCTTGGCTACAGTTCGTTTCCTTTCAAAATTATATATTACAATTGAATATAAGAATTGGAGTTACTTGTCATAACATCTTACAGTCATCACCATCAGTATTCCCTTAAGCGTACACAAACATTTGAATATCTTCATTTCGCTTTCATGAGGGGTTTTTAATTTAAAATAAAGTTGTTAGGTTAAATATATGATACTGATTGATGATATTATTTAGCCTTGTCTGGAATGATATTATCGAGCAAAGCAAGCGGGTGAACTGCCCTTGGATTCTCACCGGCGATTTCAACGCAATTCTTCATTCGGATGAGAAAACGGGGCCTCCTTCACCAGCAACCTTTCGTAGATGTAAGCGATTTGGGGAGTTTCTTAATGAAGCGGAGCTGGTTTACCTCGGTTTGTCTGGCCCTCGGTTTACTTGGTCCAGGGGGAAGGAGAGTGCAACCTACAAAGCCAGCAGGATCGTCAGAAGCATATGCAACTTGGAATGGAATGAGGGCTTCCCAAATACGTTGGTGACTCACTTGGCGGGCTTGAGCTCTGATCATCATCCGATTCTCACAATGCTTTCTAATCAGGGAGGCTCTAACCTTTCCACGAGGCGCTTCAAATTTGAAGCGGCCTGGTTTACCCATGAGGGCTTTCTCCCCTTTCTAGCTGATTCTTGGAACTCACATAATGTTTTTCCTATGGCGTTGCAGGATCTCTCCAAGAAGCTCCAGCTTTGGAATACATCGACCTTTGGGAATGTGTACCAAAGGAAAAAGAGGCTGGTTGCTGGGATTGAAAGGATAGAGCGACGTCTGGCGATCTCTTTCTCTCTAGGTCTCCTCAAAATGCACACTAAACTGGAGAAGGAACTAGATAAGACGATGGAGCAGGAGGAACTTATCTGGTTCTAGAGGGCTAGGGAGCAATGGGTGAAGTTTGTGGAACGGAGCACAACATATTTCCACCAGCTTTCCAACATTAGACGACGGAGAAATAAGATTGACTGTCTTAAGGATACCAATGGGGAATGGGTCAGCGAGAAGGATGAGCTGTTGCGGCTTGTTTATAACTTTTTATCTAAGCTTTATTTGCAGGATAACTCACCCTATGTTGACCTCCTCCCCAAAGGAGACTTTCCATGACTGAATCAAGAAGACTGGCTCCATGTCCTCCGACCTTTCAACATCCTCGACATCCACAAAGCAGTTTTTGAGATGAAACCGCTTCAAGCGCCGGAACCGGATGGCTACCAAGTTTTTTTTATCAGAAAGCTTGGGCGGTGGTGGGGAAAGCTCTCACTGTCATGGATCTTTTCTTTTTTGAGCAGGGAACGCAGCCTAAAGCGGTCACAGAATCCATAGTGGTCCTCATCCCTAAAGTGGACAAACCTGAGTCGGTTACCCAGCTTCGCCCGATCTCTCTCAACAACGTCTGCCTCAAAGCAATCACTAAGTCCCTGACCAGTCATTTCAAGGAGGTTATGGGGAAGCTGGTCTCTCCAAGGCAAAGCAGTTTCATCCCAGGACGTCAAACGACCGACAACATCATTATTGTTCAGGAAGTGTTGCACTCTTTGCGTAAAAAAGCAGGGAAAGAAGGGAGGCATGGTGTTGAAAGTGGATCTCAAAAAGGCAAATGACAGGCTTCGTTGGGATTTTTTGAGGGACACCTTGATTGGAGCGGGGCTTCCTAGTTCGTGGATTGGGGAGATCATGTACTGTGTTGTGCATAACAAGATGCGGATTCTGTGGAATGGGGAGCTCACGCCAGCCATCACTCCCACTCGGGGTTTTCGCCAGGGAGACCCTCTATCTCTCTAAATTTTTGTCCTCTGCATGGAACGATTATCTCATAGAATCGATCAGACCGTCCGGGATAAGCAATGGAAGCCCATCCGCTTATCACCGAGGGGTCCTGCCTTATCTCACTTATTTTTTGCAGATGATCCGATGCTCTTTGCAGAGGCAGAGGGGACCCAGATAAGAGTCATAAAGAACTGCCTGGATGATTTCTGTGCCAGCTCAAGGCAACGGGTGAGCTATACCAAGTTTTCTTGTGATAAACCGTTAATTGCACATGTTTTTACCCTTATTGTGGAGCCGTTTGAGGTGTTGATTCTCGTGTTTTAGGCCAATTTCACGCTAGGTTGTGCTTGTTTATGATATTTCAGGTCCTAGTAAGTGAATGAAGGTTTGGGAGCGAGTTTGGGGTCGATTGGACGAAGATCGGACGCGTGGCGAGTCGCTGAGGAAGCCACACGGGCACACACAAAACCCACACGGCCGTGCAAGTGACCAATGTGGCCGTGTGGGATTGTGCGAGCCTTCACACGGGCACAAATAAAAACCACACGGCCGTGTGAATGAGCAATGTGGCCGTGTGGATTTCTGCGAGGCTTCACACAGGCAGACTGGAGGCTCCACACGACCGTGTGCCCCTGGCCGTGTAGGAAGCCTGAAACCCACATAATCGGAACGCGGCGTTTTGACCTCACACGGGCAACTGGGTATGCCACACGGCCATGTGGCCTGCCCGTGTGATCGGGATTTTCAGGGTTTTACCCAATTTCGGGCCACAAGTGAGAGGATCGAATTTTGAGAGCAAAAACAAAGCCTTAGAGAGAGAAAGTACGAAGAACACATCCTAGAAGCCATCTTGGAGCTGGGTTTCATGAAATCGAGCTTGGAGATCGTCATAGGAGTGGAAATCATCATCCCAGAGCAGATTCTTCCCATTGTTATGAGTATGACTGCTTTGTATTCTGTTTTCCTCTCTCTCTCTCTATGGAGTAGAACCCTTCTCTCACTTGGGTATGAAGAACCCTAGTTCCATGTGTTAGGGATTTGATTGTAATGACTTGGGATGATTATACTATTTGGTTTTAATCGAATGATGCATGTTTTATTGAATTGATTGAAGTCTGATCAGCTTTTCTTGATTTCTGCTGCAACCTGAGATAGATAGATAGAATCTGATTAGGTTGTTAGAGCCTCTTCATTCGTTAGTAGGAGATTGGCTATACGAGAGTTAGCCAGTTTACTGCTTTGTACTGGAATCCAATTCCAGTAGTGGAGTTCTGTGCTTATTGCTTCAGCTTTCTACCCCGGTGAAGACTAGTCGTCTGCCGGGTAGTTAGACTTAGAGGGCTTGGTCAGCTTAAGAGATTCCAAGCTACTGTCGAATCTTCCGCAGTCTAATCAATAGTAAATCAACCCAGGGTAATTACAATTGATACCTAACTAAGGAGCTAGGGGGACTCACTCCCGAGTGACTCTTCTTTGCTTGAGAAAACCGTACCAATTCCTGCTTTCTTTCTGCTTTTGCTTAAAACAACAATCACTTGACTTAGTTGGCTAGATAATAGATACTCACGGAGTAAGCAGTAGATCTAGACCCCAGGTTGATAATAGGACTTGCCACTTTACTGCATTCCTCGACTGCGATTACACTTGGTCGCAGTTTGGTGTTGTGTCATAGCGTTTCATCTTGTATGTGTCTCCGAACATTAGACAAGACATAGCTCATCGGCTTAGTGATAGGGCAGCCATCCCACTGGTAACTAACCTCGGTCGGTATCTGGGCATTCAAGCTATCCACACCTCCACGGGCGAGTCATCAAGAGCTGGTACCAGTCCTTGATTTTGAAGATCCGAAAGAAGCTTGCCCCTTGGAAAGCCAAAAGGCTCTCCCTCGACGCGAGACTTACGGTTACTCTTTTTGTCTCTCTCGCTATTCCCACCTACTCTATGCAATCTGAATTAATCCCTAAGAATGTATGCAATGCTATATATAAGATTAACAAGGATTTTATCTGGGGAAAGGAAGTTGACAAGGGGAAGATGCATTTGGTGTCGTGGGAAAAGATGGCAGAACCGAGACTGCAGAGGGGTGGAGGCCTCCGGCCACACATACAGGCTAACCTCGCTCTCCTGGCAAAAGGAGAGTGGCGTATCCTCCAAGAGAAGGAGTCACTGTGGACATAGATTTTTAGTGCTAAATATGGAAAGCAGAGAGATGACCTCGACATGTTCCGTCCTATTCAAGGAAGTTCCTTTGCCTGGAGAAGCTTTACCAAAGCTTCCTACCTTCTCAAGAAAGGGTGTGCGTGGATCATCCAGAATGGTAGAAGCACTAATTTTTGGTGTGATGTGTGGGTTTTGCAGGTTCCTTTAAGGGATGTGGCCATACAGCCTGTTCCAGAAGAGAGGCTGAGGGACACTGTCGCTAGCTATTTGGATGAAAATGGCGACTGGGATGTGAGTCGTTTTTCGCAGTGGCTGTCCGTCGAAGTCCAGCAGAAGATCACGGCAGTAGTGGTGGATGGATTCTCGATGGTTCGAGATACTCTCTTCTGGGCTCCTTCCCCGAATGACCATTTTACTACCAAGTCAGCTTTCCAGATCGATATGCCTTAGCAAGGAAATCAATACGAGAATCTGGGGAAGAAGATTTGGAGTAACCCGGTACCCTAGAGAGTTCGGTGCTTTAGCTGGTTGGTGGCGCTGAACATGATTGCCACTAACTCTTTTCTAGGAAGTGTGCCCCGTCGCCGATGTGTTCCCGGTGTGGTAGCTGCCGGGAAACAACGCTCC